CGGCACTCAGACGGACTCAAGATGAGTCTCCATCTTCCCAGATGGAGAAGCCAGGAGGCAACAAAGCCCAGGCTCTGGGTTCAAATGCCAGCTTCCCCAACTACGAGCTGTGCGACCTTGGCCAAGCTGTGGGACTTCTCCGAGCCTCTTGTTCCCTTATCTACAAAATGGGTGTGATAATAACTCTTTCTAAGCAAGGTGTGCAGGCTGTCGTCATAGAAAGCAAACGACACATGATGAAAAGCTGCTTGGGCCACGTAGACCAGCGTGCACTTCGGTGGTTGGAGAGGAAGGGGCTTTTTTGAGCCGGGGCGGTCGGGGAAGCCTGGAGGTGGGGTGCTGGATACAACTGGCAGAACTGGGGTGAGTGGAAAGGGAGTGTCTCCAGTGTCTGCCGCTGAAGGAACAGCGAGATTTACTCCGGTACTGGGGGTGGGAACAGGGCTTTGTGCATGCTGGGCAGTCTGCCGCCGGGCAACGTCCCAGCCCTTTGATGTGATACTGCTGCGGCAGGGTCTTGCTCAGTTGCTCCAGCTGGCCTCAAAATCTCTCAGGGTCCTATGCTCAGCCTCCACGTAGCTGGGATCACAGGTATGCACCACCAAAGATGTTTTCTTAGTGAAAAATTGTTCATTAAAATGAAAGATTTTATTAATGAAAAAGAAAATTGTCAAAGAAACCATGATGTGCATCCTCCATTGTCTCCATCCCAAAAGCTGGCTCAGGCCCCTTAAACTAACATTTGCCTCTTGGCCTCGGACAGCCGTGGACCAGGGTAAATATTGGCTTAGCCTGGGAAGCAGGAGACCAGACAGCAGAGCAGCCCTTGCCGGGTAGGCTCCCCTCTCCTGCTGCCAAGCTGAGGCACGCCCTGGACGGCCCAGAGCAGCCTGGCCCCGAAGGCTGCCCAAGGCCCCACGCTGGCCATCCCGGGGCAGTGGGGTCTCTCCGGGCCTGGGAGCGGAACACCCTGAGCCTCGGGCCCTGACGCCTTCCTGCAGCACCATCTTGCTACGCCCTTGTTCCTGGTCAGCCTGTGAGGCCTGCATCCCTGACCAGCAGGAGACAGGTGGGCGGCCCCTACCACACCTGGGCCGTACCGTCCTCTGCTCGACAACTCTCCACCCTGTCCCCCGATGCCCACCCCTGTGCACACCCTCACTGCACAAATCACTGCCACTCTCCTGTGCCAGCCCTCCCCCGAGGGTCTGCCCCGCTGCTGCTCATCCCCGAATCCTCTCTTCCCTGGCGCAAATCAGCTCTCTTCATCAGCCTCTTGCTTTTACCTCCGTAGGTCCTGGGTGGAACTCGCCTACCCAGGAAGTCCTCTGGGCTTGCTCCCCAGCCCCATGCCCACACTTCAGGCCACACTCAGTCACAGCACTAGACTTAGGCACCTTGACACAACTCTACAGCAGGTCCCATGTACGAGCGCTTCAGGATGGGGGTCGCTGCTTCTCTCCCCACACACCAGCAGGCGACACTCAGGACACTGTGTCCCTCCCTACCTTTTGCCAGGACCACAACTGCTCTTCCTGAGTTCACATTTCCAAGAGGAGCAGGGAGACCTCAAGAGGCTGGAGTTTATCTGTCCTAGTATTAATCACCCCATAAAACTTGTGTTTATTCAGTTGCTGGGGGGGCCTTCTTCCTGGAGGTAGGAAGCTGTTACTCTTGGAGATACCATCGGGGGCTTGGGCCAGGAGCCCGGAGGAAGGAGGGCGACTGCCTAGCCCTAGCACTGTGGGGAGGAGGCCTGAAGCTGTCCTGCGGCCATGGCATGGGCTGGGGTTGTGATCGAGGCGGGGAGGGCAGACACCAGCCTGCGCCCCACTCTGCCCAAGGACACAGTCCCTCCTCCACCACCTGCCTCCGTGCCTACTGTGTGCACGCCTACCTGGCGTGGGGCACCCAAGAACAGGCAAGATTTGGGGGCTTCAGTTCCAGGCAGAGGCAGGAGGGGACGGGGCAGGCCTCGAAGGAAGTCCCTAAAGATCTGACACCGGTTTGGGGGACAGTCACCCCAGGAGACTGACCAGTCCTCAGAGGCACCAAGAGAAAGCCACAGTATTCAGAGAAAAGACAGTGCTGGGAAGGGGAACCCAGAAAAACAAGAAGAGGCCGGCATGATGGCGCACACCTGCAATCCCAGCACTTGGGAGGCTGAGGCAGGAGGATCCCTGAGAGTTCAAGGCCAGGCTGAACTACAGTGAGACCCTGTCTCAAAAAAGAAGAAGAAAAAGAAGAAGAAGAAGAAGAAGAAGAAGAAGAAGAAGAAGAAGAAGAGGAGGAGGAGGAGGAGGAGGAGAGGGAGACAGAGAAGAGGAGGAGCTGAAGGACACAGAGGCCCTGAAAGAGGCAGGCAGGGTGATGGGCATCGAGGGGCAGGGAGGAGGAAGAAATGGAGCCCGAGTCTGTACAGGACGGCAGGGCAGGTGCATCTCAGAGGGCAGGGCCACGGGAGGCAGAGAGGCTGATCTCTCTCCCTCGCTCCGTCTCTTACACACAGACACAAATCAATCTGAGAAGAACAAGCTGGACAGACAGTCTACTCTGCTAATTGAATTTAAGGGTTGTGGTCAGCGTTTGAAAATGCCCGGGAATTATGGTGATTTATGGCCAGGAGGGGGATCGGCCGGGCCTCAGCCCTGTGGGGTGTGCAGGGAGCCTGCCGGGACAGCCCAGAGTGACCGCCCGGCCCACTCCTGCAGACCCATGTATGGTCAAAGCGGGCGCTGCCCCAGGGTGGGCCCTGCGGCTCTCCTGCGGCCCAGAGGGCTGGCGCCCCATCACCTGGCACTTCCCCTGGCTCCCACGGTGGCCCGGCCCACACCTCCTCTTCCCAGCGCCTTCCTGGGCTCTGCTGTCTCTCAGTGACCTCAGCCTCTGAGGTCCTGCCACCCTGAGTGAGGGGAGGGGCTTCCTTCCCTTCTGACATCAGACCGGGAAGTGCAGCCTCCGCTCGGCACCCCCTACACGTGCCTTCATTCTCTCCCTGCCAGGTGGGGAGAAAAAACTCCCCCCTCCCAGGCCTGGCGTTGAGAGGTTAAGTGAGCTGGGCGGATGGAAAGCATCTCAGCAGATGGGAGGGATCCTGTGACCACAGCGCTCAGCGATTTACTGCCTTCTCGAGGTTCTGCCCACTGTGTCCCCAGCGCCTGCCGGCAAACAGGGCCTGTCAAGGGCTCCCCTCCTCAGCTAACAAGTCCCCATCCTCCCACTGGTCCTGTTGCCCCTTTCCACCCTGCAAATGTCACTCAGGGAAAGTCAAAACTGATGCTCCCACTTCTGTGCTGCCCCTTGAGACTGTGACTTCCTCCCCAGCACCGACAGTCCGGTTCCCACCGTGAGGCAGAGCCCTGGGCTAAGTCACAGCTGCTGTGCAGTGGTGGAGCCAAGGCTCAGGCCAGGGTGGCAAGGCCGGAGCTCTGACTCGAGCCCGAGACACCCTCGGCACCAAGCACAAGGCCCCCGGGACATGGAGCATGGGTCGGGCCCAGGACACTGAGGCGGCTGGCAGCCCCGGCCACCCACTGCGTCTGCAGCTGCTCTGCAGCCAGCTTCTCAAGCTTCCAAAAGAACCTTGAGAGCATTAGGCAGACGGGGAAACCGAGTCCAGGTCCAACTCTCGCTCAGCTATCGAGCCCAGCTGGCAGAGCACCGGGGCAAGGGATCCGGGAACAGGCCACCCTCAGCCCGGCGGCTGACACCTGGCAGGGCCATGCAGCCCTCGGCTTGTCAGAGGAATGCAGACACACTTATTGACTTGAAAACAGAAAGTTCCTAAACCGTAGTTAATAAAAACAGCCTCCTGATGTTTGCGACTTCAGCAGAAAGGCTTCTGATTACTCATCTCTTTGTTTTTACTTGCACTGTCTTTTCACTCATATAAAAGTGTTTTTGAGAAGTTTCACTGTTCCTAGGCTCTGAAGCCAGAAAGCAAAGAGAAGCGTTCACCCGTCTGGGCGGCCAATCTGTCCACCAGGAGGAGGGAGAGCTGGAGGGGGCCGGGGCGGGGGAGCACAACTCGGGCCCCTTGATTTGGCTTCATCTCCCCACCAACCCTGTCAGCTACCAGGCGGCTGAGGCAGGGAGGGCTCTGACCATGCCCAGAGTCCACATGTGCATGCACGCGCGCACACGGGCAGAGGCGCCCAAGCACAGCAGGCAGAGGTGCTGGGGGGCCGCCCAGCCCAACACCGGCTCGCTGTGTCACGCGAGGAAGTCCGAGGCTCCGCGTCCCGCTCCGGCCCCGGCAGGCGCACGGTGGCCAGCAACCCTGTGCCCCAGTGCTCCGCCCTCCTCCTTCCCTGTGGGGAGGGACCCGCCTCAGCTGAGCAGTCTCAGCCCCTAGGGCCCCCGCCCTCATCCCCGTTAACCCAGCGCCACTGCCCAAAGCCCTAGCCAGTGTGCCTGCCCACACCTATCATCCGAGCTCCTCAGGAGGCTGAGGCAGGAGGACTGCAAGATTAGGCCAGCCTTGGCCATGTAGCAAGACCCTGTCTCAAAATAGAATCTAAGAAGGGCTGGGGATGGAGCGCAGTGGCAGAGCACTCCTGGGTTCAATCCAACAAGGAAAAGGCGCCAGGGTGGGGCTGGAGCCCGGGCCCCTGGGAGATCCCAGCCCAGGCGAGGAGCTCCCCCTACAACTACACACTGAGGGCTGGACCCGCCATTCCCTCAGCCTCCTCGAACCCAGGTCTCCACCTCTGTTGGCCCAACGATGGGTCGGCTTCGCAGGGCCACTGTGAGGACGGGGAATACTGGCATCCTGGCGTGTGCCGGGCCCCTGTAAACCAGTCAGAGGTGGGGGCTGCTCCCTGTGCCAGGCACAAGCGGAGGAGGTGGCACCTCAGGGGTGTCCCTTGCTGAAGCCGCAGCAAGGAGCCCAGCAGTGTGCAGGGAGCCTCCGGAGCCGGTCCTGGGCCCCCTCACCCGGGCCGACTCTGGTGGGGTGGGGCCTCGCTGCCTGCTGTCCGGGCACTGAGGGCAGCACTCACCTAGCAGCTGCACGCCCCGTGTGAGGCCGTAGACGTCCACCAGGGCCCAGAGTGGGTCGGCCGTGCGCACCCCGTTGAAGAAGAGCATGGCAGCTGAGTCGTTGATGCGGTAGAAGACACGGCCCTTCCTGTCCACCCAGAAGGCGATGACGTTGCCCTCGTTGGCAAACTCCTCAGGCAGCGCCTTGGCCCAGAAGCCGCTCTGGGACACCAGGTCGGGGCAGGCGTACTTGGGCAGCGAGTCGGGGTGGATGCGGGACGGGTCCTTGCTCGTGAAGCCCAGCCGCAAGGCCCCGCTCCAGCAGCACTGCTTCTTGGTGATCTGGTGGCGGGAGGTGGCCTCAGCCCAGCCGCGCCCCTTGGGCCAGTACACCGCCCGCTGGGGGGCTCTTCCTCCCCGGGGAGCCTTCCTATGGGCGGTGGCAGCCAGCTGCCAGGCCAGGCCTGGCGCTGCTCCTTTGTCACAGGGGAGGCTGGGAAGGGAGGAAGAGAGGGAAGGGGCAGTGGGAAGGGGCGGGAAGCAGCAGGCCTGCCACAGGGGAGGTCAGCGGCTGGGCTGGGCACCCACCTTGAGCCTGACTTGCTCGTAGACGAGCACCGGGCGGTTGCTGAAGGTGATGGCGTTGCAGAAGCTGGCCTGCCTCTTGACGGCCTTGTGGCTGAGGTCCATGAGGATCTGGGAGCCCTTGGTGTGTGGGTGGAAGAGCAGCGGCGCGGCCGGGAGCCCCACACTGGGCAGCACCGGGGGGCAGTGCTTCTGCTTGTGGTGGCATCGATGAGAAGTGGTGGGGAAGGGGCCCCCGAAGGCGTCTGCAAAGGAATAGGCCCAGAGGCCAGCCCGGCGTGCTCAGAGAGGAGGGGCTGGGCCCAGGCGCCACCCGGCATCTCCGCCATCACGGCCGCCTCCTGCTGCCGCTCATCTCAGCCTCCACTCACCCGAGACCGCCAACTCCGGGCGGCCTGGGGTCCTCCACCCGCCCTCTCCTCCTCCGAGCACTCACAACCCACCCTGCACTGCCGTGGAAGCCCCCCACGGCCGCTTACCTGTTAATTTACCTATTCAACAAATATCCATCACACGCCTATGGGGCTCCAGGCCTGGCCTAGGCACTGGGCTACAAATACGACAACACGGGTCCTATCCCCCAGAAACCCACAGCCCAGGAAGAGAGATGTGGACGGAAACCATGGTGCAAAATGGCACGGGGAGGCCACCAGCAGGGCCAGCGGGCAGGGCACGTCCGGAGGAGGGCAGAGGACACGGCGGTGGGAATGGGCTGGGTGCGCAGGTGAGGACGGGCCGCCCCTGACCAGGAGGGGACTGTACCTATCGTGCCCCTGGGCCACCTCGCCACCCGCCTTCCTCCTGCTCTACACACGCCGCTTTCTTCCATGGACAGCTCTACCCAGCTGGGATGGAGCGCTGAGCAGGACTCAGCTGAGGAGCAGGCACTTTCTAAACTCATGAGAGTGGCGCCCAGGAGCCAGGGCAGGAGAGGGAAGCACAAGGGACCCAGGTCGGGTGGCCATCTGCCGCTCCATGGCTCTGTGGCTTGGGCAGAAAGTGAGACACCCCCTCCCTCAGCAGTGGGGCAGCACAACCTGCACCCACCAGCCCCTCGGCAGGAGGACACCCATCCTGCCATCCTGAGAAGGCAGGGAGTGCAGGGTGGGGAAGGCGGAGGTGGAGTAGAGCCTCAAGTGTGACGAGGTTTGGAGGTTTGGATGCACACAGCTGCTAGGTCGCACGCAGAGAGGCCCCCCGACCCACCCACCCTCGCTGAGGGAGTGAGGACAGGACGGGAGGGGGACAGGGAGGGAGAGCTCTGCCCAGGCGCTGCCTTGGGTGGCATCCTCTCCTTGCCGCTCTGAGTGTTTTCCTCCCCTCTCCTCGCAGAGGCCAACACCAGTCTCGCCTCCAGGGCCCGGGAACCCTGTACATAGGCCGGGCTCTCAGGAGCAGCTCCAGCGTGCCAGGCCGAGCGCGGGGTGGCACAGGGAAGGCTGGCCTTGCTCTCACCCGGAGACAAGACGTTCCAGAACAGCCTGACCTCAAAGGCGTTGAAGGCCATCGTGCTTGGGGCTGCACTGCCTAGAGCCCCCCAGAGAGCCGGGGAGGCATCCTGGACGAAGCCGAGTGGCCCAGACACGCAGAAGAGGGGCGAGCATTCCGGGAGGGGACGGCTGGGGTGAAGGGCAGAAGGCATCACTGGCGACAGGCCCCGCCCCAGCAAGGCCCTCACGGAGCTCAGACCCGCCGTGGACACAGCTTGATTCTTGGTTTCAAAAAATACCTGCTGTAGGCAGGTGGCACTACACACTATGAGGGACGCGTGCAGGCACAGAAGTGAGAGTGTGAAGGGGGAGAGCCCACCGACGTGTGAGTGGGGACTGCACACCTGTGCTTGTGCTCAGTGGTGACAGGCAACACACTGCGTTCTGCACAACGTGCGTTCCAGGCCAGTTACAAACGAGGTGCGCAGTCCTCATGGACTGGCAGGCGCTATTCCCTCCCAGCCCTTCCCCCTCTCTACCTGGTTCCACTGTGCCAAACCCCACCGAGTGCAACCCAAGCTCCAGTGACCAAAAGCAACGTGGGCGCCGGGCGAGGCAGAGAGCAGGGACCACCAAGGGGCACAGGCAGCATGGGGTGGCACATTCATCACCTGGCTGTGGTGGCAGCTGCATGGCGTGTGCACGTTAAACGCACGCAGTCTGCAGTGCGTAGGGCAGCGACACCTCAGTGAGGGCAGCCTTGGGTCCGGCCATACTTGTTTCTGTTTGACTGCTTGGTTGGTTGGTTTTAGGTTTTTGGTCCTTTGAGACAGGGTGCTGCAAAGCTGCCCGGGCTGGCCTCCAGCTCTCGATCCTTCTGCCTCGGTGTCCCGAGTGCTAGGGTTATAGGCATGGCATGTCTGGCAATAAGTCAGTTTTTAGAAACGCACTGAGTCCAGCTGCTGAGCACAGCCTCTCCTCTAGAGTCCTCTCCCAAGGATCACGGACCAACTACAGGCCCTCACTCTTTCAAAACCTTTCCTTGGGGCCGGGGATCTAGCTCAGTGGTTTTGCGGCCTGCTGCACAAGCCAAGGACCTGGGTTCAATCCCCGATACCAAAAAAAAAAAACCTTTCCTCTCCTTCTCACCCACCCTGCTGGGGAAAAAGTCTAGAAAACACTACCCTGAGGAAATGCAGCAGTGACCCCAGGGGCCAGAGACCCAGCCCTAGAAGGACATTCCCAGGCTTCCCTTCCGCAGGGAGGACCCAGAGCACGGTCCCCATCAGTCCTGGGCTGCGGGTGGGGAGCAGGGCCAGCACCAGAAAACGGACAGCGACAGACACCCAGAGGCATCCTACCGTGTAGCCTCCACAAGACCCACTCGTGGGCGCACACTCCAGAGCAGGGCTCATCTTTCTCCCTCATCCCTGACCCCGGGAGTCCCACATTCACATGGATCCTGTGCACACACATGTATTCGCGTACAAAATGATACACATAGAACACACCCACCACACTGTCCAGTAAGAACGGCGCCATTTACCAAGCACTTCCAGGTGCCATGGTCTGAACCGGGAGTTCTACATACACTCGGCAGTTCCACCTGTATTGGTAACTCATGAGGTAGGAAGGGACATCATCAACCCAACTTACGGGTGACAAATCTAAGCCTGAGCAAGCTCAAGCTGCTCACCCAAGGTCCTGCAGCAGGTAGAGGATGGATCTATCTCGCTCCAGGACCAGTGCCATTAACCAGTAAGTATTAATAGCCCGGAGATCACAGGCTTGGTGTGCTGAATACATTTTCTAAATGCACATTAAAACACAGCCATAAAATACGACAAGATCATCCATGTACCACTGAAATCATGTCAGGGAGCACCGAGGAGACACGTGACATTCTGCTGTGTTGTCTTCATGACACATGTGTCTATGCCACCAAAACACAGAGGTGCACACCTGCTGGAGAGAAGCAGAGAGGGTACAGGCTGGCTGCTGCTTACAAGACCAAACACTTCCCCTACAACAAAGCGCTCCCACTGCCGGGCATTTCCCCCGAGAGAAAGGAAAACACGCCATGGCATGACGACCCGCACACCAGGCACGGCAGCTTCACCCAACACAACCCCACGTGGACACAGCCAAGAGTCCTCTGAGTAGTGGACAGATAGGTCAAATGTACAGCACCACCCTGGGCTTCTGCTCTACAGGAGAAACGGACCTCACTGCAGAGACACAGCGGGGACGGACTCAGCAGTGCTCAGAAGAAAAGAAGCCAGACACAAAGGCTCTGGGCTGCAGTCCATCCGTGTGATGTTCGAGAAAAGCCACAAAGGCAGGAGGTGTAACCACAAAGTGCGGGGCAAGGAAAGAGGTGTAACCACAGTGGGGCACAAGGACATTTCTGTGACAGAAACACTCTGTCTCGATGGTGGTAGTGGTTATACAACTTTTACCCATTTGTCTGAGACACAATACACTCTAAAGGGTGAATTTCACTGCATAGACATTGGACTTCAGTTAAAAGGCAACAACCAACAAGCCAGGGCTTCGTGAAGATGAGGGGAAGACAAGGTTGCAATTTTTGCCCCAAAAGTACCCTCTCCCTGCAGCCATCTACAGGAGATCCGAAGACTGTCATTCCAACCCAAACCTCGAGTCCTTCCCTTCTGAAATGAGACGGGGTGCCGTTCCCCGTCCTCCCGTGGGTGTGGACAGACAGCACTGTGGCAGCAGCACTGTGCCCTGCTTCCTGTGCCCGTCTTCTCCGGCCCAAGTGTGGCCTCCCAGGACAGCCACAGAAGCCAGCCTGCCCTTGGGCGCTGCCCCAGCCCCTTCACGCTGAGCCCCAGCTGGCTGTGTGACTTCTCCAGTCTGCTGAGCAGCTCCTGAGCCTGGGCCACAGGCTCCTGCCACCCGACAGACCTCACTGGACCACTGCCCATACCCTCCCCACTCCAGCCCCAGGAGTCCCTGAACACCCCACAGCCGAGCTGCCAATCCTGCCTCAGAAACCAGCATCCCTGTTCACTCTGCTGTCACAGCCCTAGTTCATTCAGGCCTCCTGGCTTCTCTCTGGACCTAGGCCTGGGGCCCTGAGGCACAGCCTCACGGGCAGGTGTGCTGCTCTCAAGGACTGCACTGTGAATGGTGGCCTCAGAGGTGGCCAGAGCGACTGTCACCCTAGAGTCCCCACTTTTGTATCTCCTGGACAGCAGGTGGATTGGGGCAGGCTGTAGGGAGGAGGCCCCTGCAGAGGCCAGGGTGGAGCCCCAGGCATGCCGTCTGGCTCCCTGCCAAGCTTTCGGAGTGTCCTCTCAGTGACAGGTCCATAGCACCTGGCCAGGCTGAGGCTGTCACGGTGGGAATGCGCCTCCGGCCCTGTCCTCCTGGACATTATGAGCCGCCAGTTTCGAGCCCAGGTTCGAGCCCAGGTTCGAGCCCGGCTAGCCCTGAGGTGAACCTCAGCCTGGCCTTCCTGGCTGCCTCAGGTCCCAGTGCACAGCAGGCTCTGGCAGGTGGCCTGGAGAATACAGAGGGAGCCACCCACCTCTGCCAGAGCAGCAGTGCTGGCGACTGAGCCAAGGCCTGCGTGGATCAGCAGGTGGGATGCTCACCTTCGCCCCCAGGGCCATGCCGAAGCAGACTCTCACCCAGCACAGGAGGAGCCCAGCTCGGAACCCAGCTGCCATCATGCCCCAAAGCGAAGCTCTGTCCCCAACAGCAAGACCTCTGGGGGCCTCACTTTTGTCGTCTGTAACGGGATCTTCATGAGATTCTCCTGAGGTTTCGACAAGACTGGGACGGAGCTT